TTTTTTTTTTTTGAGATAAGGCAAAGAATCAAATTACCTCGGCATCTTTTTTCCTTTGTTCAGAAAACTTCACTTTTCCAGATTCACGATCAAGTGTATGGCAGGAAAGAGAATCAAAGAAGTCGTCCTTACAATAAACAGGCTGTAGAATATAAAGTTAATAACAGCAAATTGAGATATACAAGGACAAAAATTTGGAAACGCGAACATATACTTTCCACCTGCAGCTTACCTTGTAATCATGTTTTGCATTTCCATCCCCAGCTTCATCCTGTGCATAACTGTCATCCATATCTTTCCCATCCTCGATTCCATCATCTGATTCAGCTTTGTTACTTTTGCCTAGAAAATCCCATACCTCTTTCTTATTGAACCTTTCATTCATTGCCTCAAAATCGAACTCCTCGGAGAATCTTTTAACCAAATGGGAATTCTGGAAAAAAATAAAGTATGCTCTGAGTACAAATGTCAAAGAGGCTTGCATCCTGCAGCTTGTTTAAAACCAACCAACACGATTATCGTCACTCAACATTCCCCAAACTATTCAATACTCGATGAGAGTTTTGACCTGTTGGAAATGAGATTTTATAGCTACATCATCAATAACCTTGTAATTGTAGAAAGCGATCAGCCTTTTTTTTTATCTTGACCGGGCATGGAAACGCTTCTTTTTTCAATTCCAGAAGTTACAGAGTTTATGCAAAAGAAGCTGCAATAGGCTGCTATTCTAGGCTCGCTTTGCTTCTTCAAGCTCAGCCCCTTCTTTCAAACATAAAAATACAACACTAACGAGCAAGAAAACGAAGGCGCTAAGGCACAAAGGCTTTCGTGCAGCTGCTAGATGATTCTATTTCTAGACAGCTAACTGAGAATCCAATAGAGAAAATTATTTTTCTAATGATTTCTCATTGGAATGATTTCTTGTGAGCCACAAAACAGATTATCCAAGTCGTAAGAACGAACCACACAATGAGAATCTCAAGCCAATAGAACCAGGCGTACTACTTGACTTGCCTTTCATCTCTTATGATATTGATAAGTCGAGCCTTCGCTCTTGCCTATAATAAGAGATCAAGGATCGAGTGTCTGTTCATATGGCATACTTCTGGGATATTAACTTGAATGAGACGCCTCAAGGTCATGGATCGTTATCTATTTCGAGTTCCATGTGACTAAAGTATGAATTGCCTATTAGTCATCAGATGACAAGGAAAAGAGTCTCGGTTGATAATGCAAACTTTACCATGATAAAAGAACTAGGAGGTACACAAAGTGTAATTGAACTAGTATATTTTGTACGGATCTAACTACTAGGAATTGTCAAGGACGTCACATCCAGGCAAGAATTTCAAAGAGATCAAGTGCTTGAAAGAACAGTTACCTTTGCTCCACGTCCACGAAATTGACCTCCCACATTGCGATGATTGAGTTGAGGCACACCATTTGGCTGGAACAATGTGGAATTAGTTAAATAATGGGGTAGGCCATAATATGAAGAATACAAATACTTGGAGTTTACACAATCAGAAAGGCAAAATAAAATTTGGCATTCATCTGATGAAAGGGTATAGCGAACCACTAGTGGAAAGTCTTAGCAATACTGAATTTACCGGATAAAGAAGCAACTTCACAAAGCAGCATAGCAAAAACATGGAATAATCAGAACTATAAGAAGAAAAAAAGTTTAAAAAGCAATGGAAAACTAGCCAACTGAATTACCACTTGTCCTCTGCCCATGCCCATATTATTCTGACGAGAATGTAGAGCAGCTCCAACAAGCTGGAAGGACAAGAAGAAATCACTTCCTTTACTTTCTGGTTAAGAGTATATGACATAGTTCAATACTTAAATTAGCCATAAGTACATAAGAGAAGAAAAAAAAAATGGATCACACGCTCTAAACTAACTAAAGTTACCCCATTTCCTCTTCCTGATGCATGCATCCTATAATTTTGATGTGTATATACAGCAGCTCCTTTTGGCTGAAATAAATTACAACAAAGGAAAAAGGGCATATGTCAGAATCCACGCAGAAACCAAACTTCCCTTTTTTGGGCTTAGGGCCTTGCTGGGGCAGGGACAACAAATAAGGAGTTTATCTACCACCCATAGGGCACACAAAAAGTGACTTAGGTTACCGCATTTCCTCTGTGTGTGTGGCCTTTACTATTGTGATGAGTGGATAATGTGGCTTGATGTGCCTGAATAGACATAAAACAGACCACAAGGTAAATATCAACACTCCTAAAGAGGTTCAAATGAGAACAGAAACTACAGGATATGCAGAAAATTACCCCATCTCTTCCCCGAGCAAAGTGACTTCTATTGTGATGAGATGATGTAGATCCATGTAACTAGAGAGAGAAAAAAGGATGGGTGTCAGGCACACACAAAAAAAAATCAGAATCTCCAAGAAGTTGTATCAGATAGTAAAATCATGAAATACAGCACCAGACAACACGCGAAAAACAGGAACTACATAACGTTGCAAACAGAAAAGGAAGATGGATCACTCTAAAGGGCTCCTGCTTAACACAAGACAATCTCATCAGGAGAAATTTTCAGCTTCCTAATAGGTGTTACATGTGCCTCTGCAAGTCTGAGTCAATTAATCATTTGTTTTTTCATTGCTCAGTTGCAATAGACATGTGGAACATGTTCCTAACTCTTTTTGGTCTGCATTGGTCTATGCCATGCAGTGTCAGGGAGGCTTTTGTGAGTTGGTGCTCATGGAAAGTTGATAAAACCATCAAAAGGTTCCTGCTTGTATTTTGTGGTGTATATGGACCGAAAGGAATCAGAGATGCTTTGATGGGGTCTCAACTGCCATCTTAAAGCCAAATGTTTAGTTAATCTTTTTAGCTGGGTTAATCTTACCACTGTTTATAACCCTGAATCCTTTTTGGAATTTATTAGCTCCTTAGCATTATGATAGATCTTTTGTTGATATTTTTGGGCTGATACTTTCTGTTTGTTTGTAACATCTGCATCTTCTTGATGCCTTTTGTTAATAATATTCACTTACTTCATCAAAAAAAAAAGGAAGATGGAGGAAATAAATGCAACCAATAACAAAACAGTAATATTGTTTTTTATCACAGAAGTAATTTAGTAAGTAGGAAACAAAAACTCGGCTTACGATGATATCCATGTGCATTTATTTAAAGGGTTCCCGCAAAAGTTTTTTCGAATTGGTAAATGTAGAAGTGTGCCTCGCACAAGCATGACTAACTATATGATTCTCAGAACGTCAGTGGATGTTGGTTAAGGGTCTCTTCATTTCTTTTTTCCTTAATGCAGTTCAAAAGAAACTGCAACATCAAGCTGATTACTTTAAGGCTAAAGAATTAAAATACTCAATAACAAAGTGTAACCATGCACACAAACATCAAAAATAGAAAAGGGTAGATATTATCAAACAAGGAAACAGCAGGTTTCCAATTTTTATAAGTAAAGCTAAAATACCAGCTTAGTTGCCAAACATTAATGGGCACATCACAGTATAGGAGAGCGAAGGAATGGAAGTGAGAAGTAAGGAGAGAGAGTGTCCATACTATTTTAGTTGTAGATTTTGGTATTGACTCCACGGTTTCTTCTGTACTCCCTGATGGCAGAGGTTCTGATACTGATGCTTTAACAGTCTGTACATCAGCGTTTGACGTTTGCAATGATTGAGGTGATGAGGAATCCTTCACTCCTGACAGCACCTCTGGTGACAAGAGAGATGATCTTGACAGATTGCTGAGAGATGCATCTTTTGTGTCTACAGTAGATGACACAGTTTGCGAGATTGTGGAGAAAGAATCTGAAGTGCTAATGGTGGAACTTGGTTCTTTAGTTACTGGAGCCAGAATAGCATTGACATTAAGTTCTGCTTCCAGAGCAGACACCGTTATTGGGCCAGAATCCACTGCTACAGTTGGAAGAGCACGGAATGCATTATTTGGCATTGGAATAGATGACAAATTAAGAAACGGTTTAGCAAGCTGTCCAGCATTGGATTGCCCAGATGACGGCATTGGGGGAAGCAAATTTGGGGAAGCAGTATTAATAGGCAGCAGCAATGGGTGATGTTGTGCCGCCAAACTAGATCCTCCGGCTAGAGATGCATTCACATTTTGGTATTGTGCTTGCTGCTGAATGGGAAGGGACGCAACCAAACTCTGTGGTGGAGGAGGAAAACGTTGCTGTTGAAATTGAGAAACTCCTCCTGAGGACCCAACTAATCCAGGCCAA